TAAAAAAGAGACAGTAGTTGATACTCTTGAGGCTGCAGAAGGGGATGCTTTGGGAACATTTGCAAGGAAAAGCGATGGGATCAGTAGCACGGTGCGCCCTGGGCACACGACCTCCCTCGGCATGATGGATGCCTGTTGTGTCTCTCACTGGTGTGGTCACCTCCCCATCCAACAGTCCGGGCATTTGCAAGTCCACAAGGCCTGGAGGACTCCTGCCTCTTAGCATCAGTCCATGGGAGGTGACCTGGCTCTCAGGTGTGGTAGCAAGCCCTCTCCCAGAGACCCCAGAGCAGGCACTGCTCCCCCTGCCTCCACCACCAATGAAGGGGGCGAAACTGTCCAGAGAGCGGGAGGCTACGTCTCTTCCCCTCCTCATAATCAAATTCACAACCAATTATGTGGCACATGGTGTGATGAGTATGTCTTTCTGAGTTTGAGTTTATCCATATGATTGACTGTGTCCTAAAAACGAAATCACATTTGTGGAAGCATGCAGTGCCTCATATTGAAAAAATTAAAACTTCATGACATTTGAATTGTCCTGGAAAATCTGGAATTTGGAGTTCTAGTAGTTATGCTCGGTGATCTAAGAAGTTAAAGAGCGAGCAGTGGGCTTGTGGGCTGTTGGAGGATGAACTTCACGCAATTTTAGCGCTAGGAAATGAGCTATGAACTCTGTTAATGACGGAGAGAGACGGGATGGCCTTGGGACCATGACAATGAGGATCCATCCCCGCCTCTGTTATCAGCACTCCTTCCGCCTAACTGGTGAACTGGAAGTTAATTTTATACTAATTTGTTCTTGGCTCATGCTTTAATGAGCTTATATTTCTGGGTATTTAATTTGAAAGTACGTTTGATAAATAATCTATTAAGAAATAAACTGAGACTGAGAATAAATGAATTTGAAATTTCAGAGGTCAGTAATTAAGATTTTTGTCACTATTTGGTTTTTCACTGTCTAACCAATACTCAGCTGCCAATGCAACATTTCATATTTCTCTAAAATGAGGCAAAATCTGTGATGCATGATGGGTACCAGACAAAAACCATGATTCTGGGCTCTCTGGTCAGCCTAAACTGATTAGCTCCCACTCTTCTGTTTTCTGGGTATGTTCCATTCTGATGTGCTTGCTGGGCACCCGGACTGAAATCCCCCCACTGGGATCCCTCTGGTGCCCTGGGCCATTATGACCCAGTTACGTAGCCTCCTCGTAATTAGACACTTGTTATCACAACTCCCTTAAGTACACCGGTCCCCTTATCTAGAGAGGGGGGCCATGGAGCCTTTCAAAGTAATTTCACATGGAAGCTAAAAAGGCAAGCTGGCAGCAAGGTCTGGACACCTGATATGGCAGGCTGGGCTTGTGTCCCCTGCCACTGTCCTGGTACATCCCTTCCTGAGCCACATGCTCACTGAAGAGGTCAGCTTCCCGTGCCGTGCTCCTGCCATGGAATCTTCCAGCCAAGCAGAACTAACCCTCGTCCCTGAACTACCAGCCCCTCTCCCGTTGCCTCCCATCTCTGCACATGCTTCCCCTCTGTGAGCGTCCCCTCTCTTGCCTTTGCCCCTGGACAACAAGCCACCCTACACCCCGACGTTGCCTGGGGGCCAAAAAAGAGCCACAAATTTCTCTTGTTTGCAGTCAGTATAATCAACAACATAAACCATCCAAGATAGGCTACTAAGTTTGGACAAACTAGAAACTAACCCGATAAGATGGTCTGCTATGAGATAACTTAAAGAAAAAAAAATTTTTCCTTTACATTAAAAATTACCATGTATAAGATGCTATCTGTGGTATCAGCAGACCTACCCAATACCTAGGAATAAGCCTAATGGAAAATTTTTTAATGGCAACATGAAAAAAATCCAAGGCTCAGCTGAAGGACATAAAAACAACAATATTAATGGAAATATACCATGTACATGAATAGGAAAATGGATCTTGATGGATTACAACAATGGATTTTTACTTTTTTAAAGATTTTATTTATTTTATTTGAGAAAGAGAGAGAGAGGAGGGAGGGGCAGAGGGAGAAGCAAGCTCCCCACCAAGCAGAGAGCCCAATGTGGGACTCGATCCCAGGACCCCAGGATCATCACCTGAACTGAAGGCAGACGCCTAACCAACTGAGTCACCCAGGTGCCCCTATTACAGTGGAATAGTAACCACATTCTTAATATAATTTCAGTGGATTATTACAAAGCTTAAAATTTGATTCCAACATTCACCTGGAAGAGAAAATAGGCAACATTATCCTAGAAACATTTGAAGAAAAGAACAGAACCAAAGAGCACCTGTCATCCACAAGGTTGCCAAGATAGCCCTTGAACAAACAGCTCTGGGTCATGCTCCTCGGCACATGCCCAAGAATGAAACCAGAATCCCGCTTCAAGCCACCGACAAAAACTCATTCCGTGTAGACTGAAGATCTGAGTATAAGAGCTAAACTTGTGGAACTCCTAAAGGAAAGCATAGGTGGAAATCTTGAGCGCCTTGAGATCATGGTTTCTTAGGTATAGCACCGCCGAAAACATAAGCAACCGAAGGGAGAAGTGGACCTCATCAAAGTGATCAACTTCTGTGCTTCGGGAGAGATGCTTAAGAAAATGAAAGGACAACCCGCAAAGTGGGGGAGAATATTTGCAAACCCTATGCTACAGCACGTACCCAAGAGAACCAAAACTGCAGGGAGTTGCATACGGTTATTCATGGCGGCACTATTCACAATTGCTAGAAAGTGGAGACAACCCAAGTTCCCCTCGACTGATGAATGGATAAACAAAATTTGGCATTTCCAGACCGTGTATTATTTATTCTGCAATAGAAAGGAATGACCCATGCTAAAACCTGAATGAGCCTTGTAAGCATTATGCTGAAAGCAGCCAGACACGAAGGGCCACGTTTTGTATGAATCCGCTGCCACAAAATGAATGAACAGGCAAATCCCTAGAGACAGGAAGTAGCCGAGCCGTTGCCAGGGGCTGAGGCAGGAGGGGTGGGTCCGGGGAAGTGAGGGTTCCTGGGGACGAGGTTTCTCTTCGGAGTGATGAGAATGTTTTGCAATGAGACGGTGGTGACAGCTGTACAACATTCTGAACCTGCCAAGTGTATGCTTTTAAAAGGTGAATCCTGTGGTGTGTGAATTTAATCTTAGTCAAAACAGAGAACCTGTTCTGTCTGCCATCCAAATGTGGGATGGAACAAGAGGAACTAAACAGCGGCGCTCTTGGCACGGAGATGGACAAATGGAGGTTGGTCTCACGTGGGACAGCTCATGGAGGAGAACAGCAGAGCTGTGAGCACCCTGTAGGTGACACGTAGCACCCCCGGTCACCAGGAAAGGGAAAATGGTGGCAGAGGACAACCAGGTCTCAGTTTGCGGGGGACGGATCCTAACCTCGCCCCCTCAAAGAATAAGTTGCAGGTAGATTAAAGAGCTAAGTGTAAGACTGGAAATAGAAGAAAATAAAGAAGGACGTCCATGTAACCTTGAGGAAAGCCACCCTGAGCGGTGCATGACATTCATAAAGAGAAAGATGGAAAATTTGACTTTATAAGAATGGGAAACTGTATAACCAAAGATACCATAAGTAAATTTAAAAAAATCACTTCTCACATAGTAGGTATACCCTGAATTTTTGAAGAACTTCCAGAATTGCTAAGAAAAGTCAAAATAACCAGTGTCCAGCACTCTCCTCTCCCTCCTTGAGTTGCCTTTCAGGTGGTCCCAGAAGTCTGTCCTCTACTGAGGGACAGATAAACTTGACCCCTTTATTGGGGATTATTGGATGTCACTGGCCATTCAATCCCATCCAGTCCTCTTTCTTTTTTTTTTTTTTTTTTTAAGATTTATTTGTCAGAGAGAGCACACAAGCTGGGGGAGCAGCAGGCAGGGGGAGAACCTGGCTCTCCACTGAGCAAGGAGCCTGACTCGGGACTCGATCCCAGGACTCTGGGATCATGATCTGGGCCGAAGGCAGACACTTAGCCGACTGAGCCAGCCAGGTGTCCCAAGCCAGTCCTCCTTCTTAGCAAAGTCAGAGTGGTCTTGGGATCTCATTTTTGTTGAGCAGAATAGCTGGGCACCAAGCTCTGCCCCGGGAAAAGTGAATTCACCAGCACCACGTGAGTAAAGGGGCCATGTGCTGTGGGGGACACTGCAGGGATGGGCTGAAGCCCGATGCCACTGGCCCTGTTCCTTCCACGCCGCCTCTGCTGCCGGACCACGTGGCTGGCATGCCGAGGCCACGAATGAGGCGAGTAGAACCCGCTTAGCATTTCTTGCCTGTCAGCCGCTTCGTGGGGGCTAACCCATAACTCTGTTACGTGGATTCTGGACAGATCTCCGTCTCGGGAAGGGAAGGCCTGTGCCGTGGTTTCTTGTTGCATGCGGTGACCTTATTCAAGAAATGGAATTCTGCAGGCGTCACGCGGGGACTTCTGTCGTAGACCAAGAAGACCTTCCTATTTTTCTTTTCCTGCTAAGAGAGATCGTGAGCTCCCAACTGGGCAATTCAGGGCGGTCCCCTCCAGCTGCCGTCTCATCTGCTGTTCTGTTTCCAGAAGCCATCGATTTAGGCCTCATTCTGTTCCATTTCACAATGTGCTTAAACACGCCGCACGGGTCGCATCTCGTTACAAAAGACAGCTTGCGGGAGAGTAAGGTGGTGACGTCCACGGGGTCTGTTCTGCTGCTGGGTTTGGGGAAAGCCTCAGCATCAGAGCTTTCCTGAAGGGTGTCAGAGAGACAAGAGTGGGCCTGGGACGCTTCTTAACACCACATTGATCATCTCTAAGTAAATCAGACCTTCCTGCCGGAGGTCCTGGCCGGGTCACACCAGACTTGGCATTAAATATTAAGACCGTCAGTTCAATATTTTATGCCAAGAGGGAATCCCGTAGCTGAAAGCAGAAGAAGTGGATCGGAGGCGGTTGGCTTATTGTGAGCAGGCAAGAAGCTACATGACTGAACCAACCTTTTCCTCTTTATAGGGTCACTGCTACTACCACGGACACGTGCAAGGACACTCTGGTTCCACCGCCAGCTTCAGCACTTGCTCTGGCCTCAGGTAAGTGACCCTGACACGGCCGGCTCCGGACCCGAGCATGACTGCCACCTCCTTCTTCCCCCCATTCACTCTCAAGGATCAAGAGTAAATGGTGGGGCCTGAGCCTCCCCCCGGTGAGACAGAGAAGCCCCACCGGACACCTCGAAGGAGCACAGTGTGCCCGGGATCTTAGCTTCTCTGCCCCAGCAGCCCTTTCTAGAAGGTTCTCAGGCCTGGTGGGTTGAGAGCCACGGATGGGGCTGAGTTTCTACATCCGAGGATTTTGTGATGATCTTTCGCTTATGTGGCTCTTGTGCTTAATAATCCTGGTGTTAAAAGGTAGGAGCTCGGGTCCTAGCATTCAGGTTGTCGCTCAGGAGACATGCAGAGGCCTCCCCTCCCGGGAGGCGAAACAGAGCACCCAGCCGAGCAGAGAGCGAGGAGAGTCGAATCCAGGCGTGGGTTGCAGGGGCTTTTGCTACGAGGCTGCGCACGTGGCAGGAAACAGCGCCCTTCGTGGCTGGGCGAGCCAACCCCCGCGGCTCGTCCTTCCAGATCACACTCGTTGGCCACCAGCTGGCTCTCCTGTGCCCCCCACGAGCCGCCTCAGCCTTTTTGCCGGATCCATTCACTGGGTTTGTGAACCAGCCGCCTGCATCCCCCGAGTCCCGCTTCGCTTGCGCCCCGGGCTCTGTGAGGAGAGGGACGAGGGCCTGGGAGGGTGCGCCAGCTTGAGAGAGACCGGGCCATCCTCTGGGTCCCGGGAACGCCGCGTCTCTGAGAGTCCCACGTGGGACACTGTACACTCACGATCCACGGCACCACGCACAGACACAGTGTGCCACACACGCTACCACACACAGACATCACACACACGCTACGAAATGCACAGCACAAACACCACATACGCAATAAACCACAAGTGACATACCACATACAACGTACAGAACACACCAGACCCTCCGCCCCGCTTCTCGCTCTCGTCTCCCCTCTGTGGGCCCCTCTGTCTTCACTTGCGGGTCAGGGGCCCAGAGCAGAGCCGTCCCTCAGCCGAGCCCCCAGGGCCAGCTCCTTCCACCGCACCGCCGCCTCCGGCCGATGCCGCCCCGCCCCTGGGGACGTGCCTCCTTCCCAGCCGCCGCCGCGCCTCGCGGCCCCGTCGCCCGCACAAGGCGCAGGTGTCAGGAGAGGACATCCCGTCTCGCGCCGCAATCTGCTTTTGTCTCCAGCGTCGTCTTGACATCCTTCCTCCTGGGCTGGCGAGGGGCTGGCTCCTTCCTTCGACAGACGAGCTTGAGTTCGCCACGCCTTGTCTCTTCCCGCCCTCCATGGTGCCCCTTTAGGTGGTTTCCAGCCTCGCTCAATTGCAGACTGCGCTGGCCGCGCGGGGTGCTCAGGAGGTCTCAGGGGGTCTGTGCCTCGGTGCACAGGGCCCGGGGAAACGGGGGGGGCGGGAAGAGCAGGTGCTGTGTGGACGCCCCAACCTCTTACCAGCACCAGTTCTGCCACCTTCTTGTTCCAAGCGCTGTCCCAGCGCCCGCGCTGGCCGTCCGAGCTGAGAGTCTCCCTCCTCACATCCTCCCCCATCCCAGACATCTGTGTTTACAACTGGAATCCAGCAAAATGTAGGAAAAGCGGACCTTTCCCTGTTCACGCGCCTTCCACTCCTCTCAGGTGGAACATGGCAGCCGCGTGGGGATACCCCTCCCAGCTCGCCTCCTCGTCCTGGGCACAGGCCTGGGCAAGGCCCCATGCGTGTGTGTTTCTCTGTTTTTATAAAAATCGAGTCACATCTTACTCTTCACTTTACCCTGATTCTTCTGTCTCTGCGAGTCAGGAGACAGAGACTTAAATCTCTGTTCGCTTCCCTCCCTTGAGTGTGTGCACACACGTGTTTCTGCACACTGTTGCTCTCATGACACGTTTTGATATCCCATTCACAGGACACTATTGAACTTTGAAACGTCTGCGAATCTGGCACGTGAGCAGAGTGATCTCGGTGCTGATGGATTGGCTGCTCTCCCATTGTTAATGGTTCTCCGGCAAACATCCCTTGAGCGCTTCCTCAGTGTGACACTGAAGGAGGTGGGGCAAGCCGTGCGGACGTCTGCAGGAAGCACATTCCTGGCAGAGGGAACAGCATGTGCTAAGTCCCTGACACAGGAAAATGCCCGGGCTTGGCAGAGCAGCAAGGTGGCCAGTGTGGCTGCAACAGAGCAGGCAGAGGAGGCAGGGGAAGCTGAGGTCAAGGAGAAGGAGGAGGGCCTTGGCCTCTCCCTTCTCTATGACAGGGTCACGGGAACTTTGCTCTGAGGTCTCACTTGACATTGACAAGGTCACTCTGGCCGCTGGGCTGAAATTGGATGGTAGGGGGAGCAGGCGGAGGCGCAGAGCTCAGCGAGGCGCCTTCCCGAGAATCCTGCCGGGTTACCGGAGCCTGGGCAGAGGGGGCACTTGCGGACAAGCAGGAGTCCAGAAACTTCTTCAAGGGTTTAGAGATTCTGGTGCCCCTGACACCTGCATAAGCTTCTGACCGTTGCCTTCTCCACCGCAAGTGCTCTGTGTCTGAAACTCACTCCGCCAGGGTAGTGAGGGGCACAAATACACGAAGGGGCCAAGCTCCTGCCGCTGAGTGAGGGGTTACTAAGGAAGCCGTGGGAAAGCCCCTCAAGGGGCAGGGCCTCCAAGACATGTGCGGGCCCAGCAGGCGTGCTGGGTGCTCGGTGGAGGAGGAGGTGGAGGAGGACACTGTTTGCAAGTGACAATATGCACAGAGAGGACATCAGCTCCCCGTGGACTGAGGTGCACGAGGGAAGAACTTGGAAAGAGTCTTTTGTCTTTTCAAAAGGCTGTCAGGGGGCTGGAGGGAGCAAGGTCAGCCAGGCTTCAGCTGCAGGGAAGATGGAAGGGCAGGGGGAGGGGAGTCCGAGGATGGACGTGAGTCCCAGGGGCACAGTGGGAAGGTGAGAGGGGCCAAGGGAGGAGTGAGAATGGGGTCAGAGGATTAAAGGGCTGTGTGGAGACAGGGCCCCATCTTGATGGAAAAGCCAGAGCTCAGGCTCCTTGGGGAGATAGAAGCGAACAGAGATGAAGGACAGGATGGGGTCAGACCTGATTGCATCTGGGATGGAGGGGTGTGACCAGTTCAAGATGGATGATCTGGAGCCAACAGTGGATGTTTGCACCCTAGACCACAACAGCCCTAGCAGTGAACAAGCTGTGTGACAGTGAACAAGTCACCAGACCTCTCTGAGCCCCAGTTTCCTTGTGTTAAAATAGAATGAAGTCTCCAGCTAAAGTGGTGGTTTTGAAAATTAATCCTGTGACCTATAGGAAAGCCAGTCCTGTGCCTGATTTGGAGCAAGCCGCCAAAGGAAGAACCATCAGACTCTTGAGACTGTCTTGTGTTCTTTGATTCTGTAGCTGGCCCCTTTGGGAGGTGTGTTCATGCAGTACTTCTGCGCTAATTCATGCAGAGCGGTACTCCTCCTAGGGGAAACATGGTGGACACCCACAAGACCATGGTGGCAAAGATCACACATGGAAATCACAGTCACCCTACCCTGTGTGGTATCCAACATTCTTCAAAGTAGAGAGTCTCTAATACATACCTGGAAAAGGAAAATCCACAAGTCCACACTTTACTGTTGCTCCTCTTCAGAGCCTAAAAGATGGACCTGTTTGTTCAAAGGCCATTTATTGAGGGCTGGGTATTTCCAGCCTTCAAGTTAACATAAATGTCAAAGTGTACAAGAACGGAAAAGCTAATCTGAACTGGCAAAAAAAAAAGCAAACAAAACTTGAAGGTAGACTCCTCCTACTTAAAAGACCAGAGGTGGCTTCAGGCATGGCTGGATACAGGGTCTAACTAATGCTGTCAGAGTCCATTCTCTCTCCACTCTGGCCTCCACTTTCTTCTGTGTTGGTTTTATTTTCATATATGGCTTTGTGTGTGTGTGTGTGTGTGTGTGTGTGTGTGTGGTCACAGGGGGGTTGCAGGCAGCCCTAGGCTTACATCCTCAGAGACCAAGTAGAAGTATGAGGACTGCTCTTTCAAGTTCAGCAAAGTTCCCCTAAAATACCTCTGATTGGCCCTGACTGGGTCATTGGTCCATCCCTGAAACAATCACAGTGGCCATTGGTGGGTGTGATGCTCTGGTTTAACTCCCTGGGTCAGGCTGGGGGTGAACTACACCCAACCCCAAGGATGGGAAGTGGGGAGAGTGAGTTCTCCAAGGAAAACCAGGGGGCTTTTGCCAGAGAAAGGGCAAATGAGGGCCAAGACAGTAAGCAACAAACAGGCCTCTTCCAACAATGGCTTCTACACATCTGTGAAGAAGTTTTAGACCATCAAAACAGAGAACAGGCATTAACAGAGGCATCGGGATTGGTCTGGTAATTTTCAGGTGATTTTCATAGGCATTTCAAACTCTTGATAGGTAAAGAGAAAGGGGTCTCTCCAAGGTATTCCATTTATAAACCAGTGACATTAATTAATTAGTTTTTTAAAATGAAGAGGAAGGGGGCACCTGGGTGGCTCAGTCAGTGAAGCATCTGACTCTTGGTTTTGGCTCAGGTCATAATCCCAGGGTCGTGGGATCAAGCCCCGTGTCAGGCTCTGAGCTCAGCTGCTGTCTGCTTGAGATTCTCTCTCCCTCTTCCTCTGCCCCTCCTGCTTGTGCTCTCCTTTCTCTCAAACGAATAAATAAATCTTTAAAAAATAGAAAACGAAGAGGAACAATTGGATAGCGTATTCCCGAAATAATATTCGAATAGGATAAACCTGCCTTCTGTTCTTGGCCATGTCCCTCGGTCACAACACCCACCTTTCCACCAGGGCTGCCCACCAAAGGCGCCGGTACCTGTCCTCCCACACGGAGAGGCCAGCCTCTCTGTCCGGTTTGAGGAGCATCTGCTTCTCAGCCTCTACCTCTCGTCTCCAGCACCTGGACGATGTTCCGTCCAGGGTACGTCGCACAGACCATAATCGGGCAGAGAGGAATGCTGTGAAGTTACTCGTG